TTAGATAATAACATTGCATTACTGTTAATTTCCTGGTTTGATCTTTGTACTGTGCTTATGAGAGGATATACCTGTTTTTAGAAAATACAGTAAAGTTTTTGGAATTATAAGGACCCTATTTCTACAAATGTTTCAAGATGATGTATATTCCCACAGACATATATACAAAGAGAGATAGAAAGAGATAAAAATAAGACAAAGAGAATGAGGAATAAATACATTAAATTTTTAACTGCATTTAGAGAATGTGAGTGAATGATATGGGGAAAGTATGTGTACCTATTTTGTAAATTTTCTATAGATCTGAAATTATTTCAAAATACAAAGTTAAAAGAAAAACTTTTTTAAAGTCTTCATATGGGAAACAAGTTTTCAAAATTAACCAGTTTTTAAAAGCTATTCTATCCCTCTACAGCACCTAGGCCTCTACCAGACATTTGTGGGGTTCTTAAAAATTTACTGACTAGGATTGTGATGTAACTAAGTATGTTTGATTTCTATTACCACAACAAAATACCCAACATAATTAATTTATAGAGTGAGAAAGTTTACTTTGTTTCAGTCTTTGGGGTTCCAGTCCATGATCGTGTACACCCACATTTCTGGTTCTATGGGGAGTGTAGGAACAAGCCTACTAGTTTATCCCTGACCAGGGGTGAACGAGGATGAAAGACAAAAGACACAAAGATAATTTGGAATGCAGGGTCCAGAGGGCTCTTTGCTTCTAGTGGACAAAGAGCCCTGAGCATGTGGCTCACCTCACTTTTATTCACTTAGACACAGGAAGAGACAATTAGATTAAGAGAAGATTCATCTGCCTCTTGTTATCTATACCATGTACCCAGGTAAACATCCAGATCTCAGCTGTATTGACTCTTCTCTGGAACTTGCAACATGCTAGCATGCCTGCAGTGTACATTGCCAAAGAAGGCATAGCTTGCTGTTTTTCTCTTTTGTGCTCACACAGACGGTCAATTAGGCCTTGATCCTTATTATCTGGTCTCCTACAGAGGAGGAAGCACATCATGGTGGGAACATGTGGTGGAACAAAGTTGCTCACCTCAAGGTGGCCAGCAAGCAAAAGAGAAGGGGAAGAGACTTCTCTCCCAAGATTCCTTTGGAGGTCACACCTTCAATCACCTAAGACCTCCCGTGAGGCTTCACCTCTTAAATATTCCACCCCTCCAACTAGCATCTAGCTGAGGATCAAGATTTTAACACATGAGCCTCGGGAGGACCTTATAGATCCAAACTATATCACTAAGTGTATGCAATCTAACCCATGATTGAAGCTTATGGGCCAGACTCAACTGGTAAACATATGTTATTTGACCTTCCTCTTCTGTGCCCTGGCATCTGAAATACTCACCAGATATTTACAAACCTAGAAATTTCACACTTTTTTAAATCTCCAATTTCTGGGTTTCTAATTAAAAAACCGGACAATCTGGCAACAATGGGCTCACCTAGAAGTGCTAAAGAGCAATCCTGCTCAGGTCAGTGGGTGCCATCCCTTCTTATACCCCAATATTATTTTTCCCTGAGACCTGATGCAAATGGCTGTTGATCATTGCACACGCAGAATTATTTGTCTACAAATAGAACAATGTATCCCTACATCTGTGTCTGTCTCTAAAGTGGGGAATTAAAGAGAGGCTGATGGACTTCTTATCCCACCTTACTTTACCCATTCAGGTTACCTTTCTGATGCCTGTGGGCATTTCATTTTAAGACCTCTGACTTAACCTTTTGTGAGGGCCTAGAATTAGTTTCAAGAACAGCAAGATACTTTGGCTCACACTGAGGCCCCTCTCATCACTGAGAATTAAAGTTAATTCCCTGTTTGAACAAGCTTGAGGGAACCTTCAATACATCAATATCTACTAGTGATGAAGCAGATGCTGACAAGGAAGACACCATAGGAAAGAATCATTAGATAGATTTCTTTTTTTCTTATTTTTCACTGACAGAAGCTGGGAGTCAAATAATAAGATAATAGGAAAGAAGACTGCAAGAAATGGAAAGATAGGAGAGGTTTATCACCTTTCCTTTGAGCCTGGAATCCATACAAATGCTGATTATAACAGTTTCTTTAATTAGCTTCTCTTCCCTGTGGGTGAAAATGAGAGGAAACAAGTTTCAAAATGATCTTCCTTCTCCAATAATAATAGCAAACACTTGTATGCAAGTTAACTATATGTGAGACTTTCTTTATACTATACACATATTATTGCACTCATTCTTCAACTATACTATAAGGTAGGTTACCATCATTATCCCATTTTGTAGATAAGGAAACTAAGGCACAAAATATTAAATATTTTGTGTATAGTCACAGCAGTTATAAAGACACTATTCTAGCCCAGAGACTGTTCTCTTCAACATTATACATTTGCTGCTAAAGTAACTCTAAACAACTCTGAAAAACAAAATCAAGAGATTCTGTTAAGGTTCAAAGACCATAATTTTATCTCGTCACCTCTACTAGTGCTTTTAACCAACTTGAATATTTTAGGCTGGCAACAGAATAGTTGTTTCCAGTTAAGAACTGAAACCATGACCTAAACATGTGACAGCTGGCTTTAAGTTGCTTTGAGCTAGGAGAGCTTTGGCTATTGAGGCTCCTTGGAGTAAGGTTAGAATTGTGTGTCCTAATTTTGGCCTGGGGCTCTTCATATGGTTCTCTGAGGCCCATTCTTCCAGAGAGTAGCCCTCTGGCCATATTCCTGCAGGTTATAGCTAGGTCTTTTGGTCTGACTCTGCTTTCAGAAATGATAAACAGTTGACTAGGATGCTTTGTGGAATTAGAAGAAATGGCCTTGCTGGCAACTTGGACACACAGGGGCCTTTTCAGTCATTTAACAATCATCAGGCCAACAGGTACCCATTGCAGTCACTGTGTACCATTTGCTTTGCAGGAGGAAGCTGTTCAGCAGAAAATGAATGTGCCCTGCTTCCTAAGGAATCTCTCTCCCTTCCAAGGGCAGTGCTCACAGAGAACAAGGTCAGGAAATGAAAAGACTGCCCTGGCCCTTAGAAGCTCGACCTGCCTCACTTGTCCCTTCTTCCTCTGAAACTCAACCCTCTGGATTCCCAAGCTCTGTTTCATTTTGTGGTTTTTTGCCACTTTGCTGATTTTCCTCAGTGTATTGGCCTAACTTCACAGTCACCAGGTGTCTTCTGTCCTCCCATCAACTGACACTTAATGAGCAGATGGCGCAAGCGGCCTGGCAGTAATGCAATGGCTGAATGAGTGGGTGGAAATGGGGGAAAGGAAGCAGCTTTAAGGAAAAGGACAGATTGGCTTAGTATTTGTGCCACAGAGAAGCAGGAACTGCAGAAAGAGGTTAGTAGCAAAATTTTTTTATTGGAATGATACCATCATTTTAAAAGCAAGAAAAGGATATGAGAACGCAGAACTCTTACACTTTCTATTTGGAGAAAGGAACTGAAACCTGGTATGACTTGCCAAAATGTTTACTGAGATTTCAGGGCCCTATTGGTTGTGGTGACTTGTCTTTGAATTCAGGCTGGGTGAGAATAACTTTCTTCTCCTTTGTTTATTCATTCAGTTACATATTCCACAGCAGATACCCTACATGAGCATGTAGGAAAGTCCCTATAGTAAAATTGACAGAGTGCTATAACTGGAAAGAATCAATAAGATCCTTATATCTTGGACTCCTTGTCTGCAAAAAAAAAAAAAAAAAAAGAAGCACCTGAGATGTTCAAGTTCACATTCAGATTCTGTGGTCTGGGATGAGGTCTGAAAATCTCCAATTCAAATAAGCATGCAGGTGATGCCAACACTACTCATGCATGGACCACACTTGCAGAAGGGAGGTTCTGGTATACTCTATTACAGTTAAATATATGAACCTCCAAATTTTCAGATATGTGCACAGGGTCACAAAGCCAGGAAGTGGAAGAGCCAGGCTTTAACCCCAGGTTGATACTCATCTCACAATGACACTTTGCTTCAGCAATGAGTGATTCAATGTTTTGGTTCTCCAATCTCTTGATTCTCATAAAAGTGAGTTGATAATAACCATATTCACCATCTTCATCAGAGTTAGTGTGGTAAAATCATTGAGACTATTCAAACAAAAGATTACCTTCACCAATTATCCTTTGTAGTCTAACTCCAGACCATGGAAATCATGACAATCTTCCTATTGCCAGATGCTCAACCTATCTGCAAATTTTCATTGAAGCACAACTTGTTTGCAAGATGTAAAATTAGAAGTGACAGACAAATCTATTTTTATAAATCTTAGCCTGTCTATTTTGAGTGTCTGAATTTTAAAAGAAGATTGAGGGCAGCTTTTGAACTTGACTGAAATGTTATTTGATGCTACTCTATTTACTTCTAATTTATAAGATATACTTTTGTGATTTCCCCTGTTATTAATAATATGCAAAGTGATATATGGCACAAGTGGGACTATTTTAGTTCTATAAAGGACAGTTTAGCCTAGTGTTTGCTGAATATAAGGCAAGAAAGTAGCTGCAGTTTTATGACTACCTAGAAATATTGATCCCAGTTTAAATACACTACATGGCCTTAAATAAAACACTACCCTGTCTAGACTTGAGTTTTTATAGCTGTTAAAATGAGAAGAAGTGGATTTTAAGGTGGCTCGGGAGTGGCCCAGAGGAGCCGGCGGTGGCCAGAGGAGCGAGGGACAGAGCCCGGAGCCATGCTGCGCTGGGGGGGGGGGGGGGGCCAGCCTCCGCCACCGCCGCCTCCCGGATGGGCGCCCTTCGCCGTGGACGCCGGCAGCCCCGGACCAGGGTTTCATCACCTTAAATGATTTTGAACCAATGAAGCTGTGTCCCCTTAAAGAGACGGACAAACCGTCGTATGAACCATAGAGTTTGTGGACAGATTAATATTGGGTTAATAGTGGAGCAATGCACGCAGACTCCTGCGAGTTCCCTTATGTTCTTAGAGGACCACTTTGCCTTTTGAATCAGAGAGTTGCAAAGTTCGATAAAGAATGATCCTTGCGGATAAGCACAAAGTCAAACAACAGCGATTGGACAGAGTTTGTGAAAGTATCCGACCCCAGATCATGAAAGGCCCCCTGCACCCCCTCCCCCTGGTGGCGCTGCTGGATGGCAGAGGCTGCACCGTGGAGATGCCCATTCTGAAGGACCTGGCCACTGTGGCCTTCTGTGATGCGCAGTCCACACAGGAGATCCATGAAAAGGTGTTAAACGAGGCCGTGGGTGCTATGATGTACCACACCATCACCCTCACCAGGGAGGACTTGGAGAAGTTCAAGGCCCTGAGAGTGATCGATCGTATCGGCAGCGGCTATGACAACGTGGACATCAAGGCTGCTGGAGAGCTTGGGATCGCTGTGTGCAGCATCTCATCCGCAGCAGTGGAAGAGAGGGCCAATTCCCCCATCTGCCGCATCCTCAATCTATTCCGGCGGAACACGTGGCTGTACCAGGCACTGCGGGAAGGGGCGAGGGTACAGAGCATGGAACAGATTCGAGAGGTGGCCTCAGGAGCAGCCCGAATCCGTGGAGAGACACTGGGCCTCATCGGCTTTGGTACCACGGGGCAGGCGGTTGCTGTTCGAGCCAAGGCCTTTGGATTCAGCGTCATATTTTATGACTTCTACTTGCAGGATAGCATAGAGCTATCCCTGGATGTGCAGAGGGTCTACACCCTACAGGATTTGCTGTATCAGAGTGACTGTGTCTCCTTGCACTGCAATCTCAATGAACATAACCACCACCTCATCAATGACTTCACTATAAAGCAGATGAGGCAAGGGGCATTCCTAGTGAATGCAGCCCACGGTGGCTTGGTGGATGAGAAAGCCTTATCCCAGGCCCTCAAAGAGGGCACGATACGAGGGGTAGCCCTTGATGTGCACAAATCAGAGCCCTTTAGGTTTGCTCAGGGTCCATTGAAAGACGCACCAAATCTCATCTGTACTCCCCACACGGCCTGTTACAGTGAACAAGTATCCCTGGGGATGAGGGAGGCAGCTGCCACTGAGATCCGCCGAGCAATCACAGGACGCATCCCAGAAAGCTTAAGAAACTGTGTTAACAAGGAATTCTTCGTCACATCAGCTCCTTGGTCAGTAATAGACCAGCAACCAATTCATCCTGAGCTCAATGGTGCCACATACAAGTATGCACCAGGCATTGTAGGTGTGGCCCCAGGAGGACTTCCTGCAGCCATGGAAGGCATTATCCCTGGAGGCATCCTGGTGACTCACAACCTCCCCACAGTGGCACATCCTTCCCAAGCCTCCTCTTCCAACCAACCCACAAAACTTGGGGATAATCGAGAGCACCCGAAGGAGCAATAACAGAGAATACTGAAAGGTAATCATTTGGATAAACTTGGGACCAAGGGACAGTGAAAAATGGATGAACTAAGAAAAGTCTTTGACAGTCTTTTTAACTGATCCTGGACATACACATCCTTGATGTTGCAGTGCTAAACCTACAAGAGCTAGAAAACTGAAGATGTCTGCTTGTGGAAGCGCTGAAAGACTAGGACGTGACTTATTAACGACCAACTTCTGTTATTGTGTGTTAAGTTTTTCATCTGTGCATCAAATCACAAAGAATAAATAGTGCTTTTTCCTTTATCAGTCCCTTGGACACAGTAGGTCGTGAGCACCTTGCTCTAGAATGTTGCATCAAAAGTTCCAAACATCAAAATAAAAAAAAAAATGTTAAGAGGAAATTCCATCTTATGACACTAGTCCCTTTGGTCTACAGGGGCTTGTTACCTCTTTTTATTAATAGGAAGTTTAAATTACTACAAGATGGGGAGAAAACTGCCTGTTAGACATCTGCATGAATAGGATTGAAGAGCACAGGCTCCTGTACAGAGAGGTGTCTCTCACATCTGAACTGCATGCTGAGCGTTCAAGTTGGTTGTTAGTTCAGTAGTACCCTCTGATGATGCAAAAAAGAAAAAATTATTAAGTTTCACAAGCTGTTTGTACTCAAATATATTTTCTCAGTTTCAGATCCTCAGCTATTTTATTGAGTGGAAAGTCTTGAACTGTAAGGATTCCAGAAGAATAATGTTGCATTTCCTTATGTCTCAGGAAACACTTTTTATGGTAACTTGTCAGATTGTCTATGAACAAACCCACTTTTTTAGACATTGATAAAGTCTTTTCTTCATGTGATATTTTATACAAGAACACTTCAGATGTGTTATTAGATGTGACTGATTTTAACAAATCCTATTAGATTTTTATCAACTAGTTACATGTTCTATTCATAGTCATTTGTGAATCATTGCCTTTTTGTTTAAAAAGATGGCCTATTTTGAGACTTTGTATAGGTACATTCCTGTTTTTGTGACAAAAGAAAAACTTTAAACTGTCTCAAACAGAAAAATAATGGCTATCCAGAAGTATGTTTTGTTTTAGTGTGAGTTATCATTACTGTATTTGTTTATTGTAAAGGTGGACATTTACCATTCATTGCAGTTTTCAATAAAAAGTAATTAAAATTTAAAATGAGAAGAAGTGGATTAGCACCCAACTGTTAAATTGGAATACTTATAAGGTAAAAATAATGTTTTGTATTGAGGAATATTTATGACAACAGGAAATTTAGACTTATAAGAGCAGTCTTTTACATACATGGAGATTTAAGTACTATTGAATCAATCCTTTAATCAACAGATCCCAAATAAGTTGTTACTACCTCCAAGATAATGTAATCAAGAATATAAAACTTAGCCTTTCATGGGACTTGTTCTCTCACAAAAACAAGAAAACAAAAAAACCTTCCAGGTTATTTCTCTTGAAAACATAGGTAGCATCTTAAACTTGATAAAAACCTAGGTAAGAGATACAAGTCCTACCAAGTTGTAGTGTCAAAAGACATCAAATTTCCAAACAACTTTAACAGCAACAATAAACATGTACAATGAGAGGGAAAGTTCTCACATCATTCATATAAAGCCTATTACCAGAATTGGAGGCCACTTAATCTTCCCCCATCTCCCCAGTTTTTTCTCACTTTTTTTCTGCCATAAATAGGAATTTACCATTTCTCTCCTATAGCTAAATGGTTCTAAATTTTCATAATGGCTCTTTGTGCATTTTTTTAAAACCTAACTAATTTGTTGCTTTAAAATATCTCTCCTATCTTGTTCATTCATTTCACTTTCTCTAGTGAAGGTCTTTTTGATAGAAATCCATTCATATAGTCCTCGCCACTTCAAAACTTCTTAATCTATTCTTCAAACAATTTTGTAAAAAATTGATAAAATTAAATCCTGGAAGCAGAAAGTCTGGTTCCCCTCTATCCTTCTATGTTAAACACATGTTGCAGAATTCATAAGAAATTAAGAGTACATTAAATGTGCATACTCATGTAAAACTGCTAAAATGTGTCTTAAGAGTAAATAATGGGCTTTTAACTCTTATCATAACGTACATTAAAGGCAATGATTATTTCTCTCATTTTAGAGATGATGTAATACCTGCTGCACAATTGTCCTGAAGTCTGGTGATTTGAATCCCTATACTTGTGACTAAAAATTTGCTTTTCTTTCTGCTGTAGCATTCTTCCTTGTGTATCTCTCTCTCTCTCTCTCTCTCTCTCTCTCTCTCTCTCTCTTTCTTTCTCTCTCTTTCTCTTCTCTCTCTCTTTCTCCCCTCCCTCTTTCTTCCTGTTTCTTTCTTCATTCTTACTTTCCTCATTATTTTCCTACATTAAAGAAGGATTTTTTTAACTCACTTTATGATATTTCTTGACAGATCTCAGTTCCAATACTTGGGAGGCTCAGATACTTTCTAGATTTGGCTTCATTGATTTCTGAATCCTTTAGTTGAAGAAATTTTGAGTATTTATATGGCTCTGGATAAAAATAATCTAGTGCTTGTCTTGGGGAGAGACTGGGATAAACAGTTAACAGCATTCTTTTCTTTCCATTACCAAATCTTACTACAAATTCTGTATTTTACTTAATTATGATAATCACCTTCACTAATCTTTTCTTGCTCACTCAAATAACTTATACTCTTTAATGGTTCTCTACTTTTGTAGCTCCTTTATGATTTCAGAATTACAAAACATACTCAGTGAATACCTAACTGGTTTTATTCCATCTTCCTACATCCCCTGCCCTATAAGTCAGCACAATGCCCAGCAAATAAGTGATCAATTAATTTACTTAAAGAATAGATGATTATTGTGTAACACATGCCAATAGGATTTTAATAAGACATATTTTTACATGTGGAGTACTATATATAATTCTATACCAATTTTATCATTTGGTTATAAAGCAGTAGTTCTTAACTAGGAATGTTTTATATGTATACACAAAACCCAAGGACATTCCTCGATGTCTGGAGACATTTTTGGTTTTCATAACTAGGAAAAGATTGCTATTGGAATCTAATTAACACAGGTTAGTACCCTTGTAAATATCTGAAAACAGTCCCCCTACACATAAATATATTAATAACAAATATCCAGTGAAAATTAGCAATAGGGGCAATATTAAAAATGAAAACTGATATTAAGTGCATTGCTGTAAAGGGGGCCTTGTGAGATTTTGGATTTGATGCATCCTGAAGTTGTGCAGCCTGTGCTCTGTCCTCAAGCATACAGCATCTAGCCCAAGAGTCCCCAGCTGATGTCCTCCAGGCATCCCAGCCATCCTCCAATGTCCCCAGTCATCTCCGAATCAGAATCTGACAGATGCAAGAGATTTTGTTAAGAGCCCATGGAATAAGGTGCCTACCAGGCCTGCCACATCTTCAAAGGTACAATTATGTATGAGAAATGTGTGTTCCATGACAAAGCTAGGTTGGAAACCCAGTGCTACCATTTATTTAGCTGTGGAGCCACGAGCAAATCAAAGTCTCTGAGCCACGATTTCCATAAAATGGGAATAATAACCTCAAGGCCTCAGGATTGCCATGAGGGAAAAAAAGTAAAATTCAAGTGTCTGATACATAGTAAACATTTGAACAAAATGGCAGGTAACATTTTATTTAATTCTAACATTAAAATGCACTCTTCTATACAAATTGGCACCTGTATGCACACCACAGTAAGATTTAGCTCTCTAAAAATTTGTATGGATTTCATCTAATTCACTGCAGTTGGTTTATTTTGTTCCATGTATCCATTGCTCCTTCTCAGAGCAGGGTTAAAAATCCTACCTTGTTTATGTTGTGGCACACAAATGGAATGTGAATAGAAGAGATGAAGACCCCTCCCACCTTCTGCCATGTTATCTCCTCTGTGATGAGATATCCATGTCCCTAAAGAGGGGCTTTTCCTTCCATTCAAAGCCTGTAATGAAGTCAATATGAACCCCATAACCAGCCCATAAAGCATGCACTGTGAATGAGAAATAAATCTTTGTTGTTGTAAACATCTGAGGCTTTGGGATTGTTTTTCCCATAACACTAATTTAGCTAAATTGACTAATAACTGCCACCAGTTGCTCAACTGGAAATACAAAATTCTCTTCTAGCCTGGGAAATTTGGCTCTAAGTAGGTGATGCTTTACTGAGAGCCTAAATGCTAAATGCTGAATAGGACTGGGTGTAAAGTCTTCTCAGAGCCTAGGGTGAATTATAAGCCACATTAATTGGAATAGAAAGAATGTTTTGGTATTGAAAACCTAGCTATGAAAGCCAGGATCTGGATATCAGAAAATGGACAGACATCCCCTGCTCCTGGGTAGGAAGGATTAATATAGTGAAAATGGCCATACTTCCAAAACTGCTATATAGATTTAAT